CACTGCCGTCCTGTCAATTTGACTCATGGCGACCCCTCCTTGGGTTTCTGAGGCAGTATCTCCATGGAAGTAGATTGGCCAATCTTCCTTCCAAGGAGTGGCTGGTGGGTTTGAACCGCCAGCCTTCTGGTTAGCAGTCAGATGCCCTAGGCACTACACCACCAGAGCTCCCACATTCTCAATGCTCACTCAAATTCAGGGCTCTTCACAGGTGAGACCTCCCCCTTCCACCTCATTCCCTGCTCCACCCACAGCCGATCTCTCTTCTTCTTCCCACTTACAAGCTTCCTGGCCTTTGTGCACACAGTTCCTGGGTCACAAATGTCTTTCCATGCCTCTCCCCCTCTTCTCTGTGGAGTGCATTTCTTTGCAGCCCTTGTCAAGGATCACCTCCTCTGAGAAGTCTTCCAGGATTGTCCCACCCTCAGCAAGGCAGAGGGAAGAGGCTGCAGAGTCTGGCAGAATTCCAACCAAGTATGAACCCTATTACCAGCCCAGAGGCCTTCACTTCACTTCTCTGAGCCTCACCTTGGTCCTCTGAAAAATCAGGGTAATACCTATCTTGTGCAGTGGACAACTTGCAAGAGTGCGCCGGTACCTGGCATGCAACAGGTAATAAGTGCATAAGTTTACTCCTTTCTCCCTGCAGCTGCAAGCTTCCCCAGCACGACTGTCCTTTGATCTCTATACCACCACCTGCCCCGCCCCTTGCAGGGAGGAAAGGAACAAGACAGGCTGGTAGGCCTGGAAAACGACTGGGACGCCAAGGGCTTGGCGGCGGGACCAGACTTGCGCGTCCTTTCCGTGCGGCGGGGGGCGCGTGAACACGTGCACAAGTGCGCGGGACATTAAGTTCAGACACCCAGAAACTCAGCGGTGCCATTTTGCCCAACCTGCCCCGGCAGAGGTAGCAGATAGCAGACTAGCCAGTTATTGGGGCCGACAGCCGCCACTCCTCAGGCCTTGCGGAACCTAAGGAGGCCTGGGTGAGTCCCGCCCAAGGAGAGGTCGCAAGGGGCGCGAGAGGGTTGAAGTGTGAACGAATTGGACCTGAAGCGCGCTGACCCTCGACCCTCCTTATGGAGAACGAGAGGTGAAGGTGGGCAAAACCGGGGTCTGCCCAGTGAAAGGAGACTTAAAACCATATCCTCTAACCTGGACTGTTTCACCCTGCCTCCCACGTGACCTCGGCAAGTCGTTTTCCTCTCTGCTCCTTGGTTTTTCCACATGTAAAATGGGACTGCCTGTCGGGGTGGATGTTGGGATGAAATGAGTCTAGCTCACCGGAAAGAGTCTAGCTCAGACCGGGTTCTGGGCCTCTCTTTAGATGGGGAGGTCACAGAGGATCTGGACGGTGGGTTGAAGGCACTCCTGGGGCAACAGATGAAAGACATCTGCCAGCAACCCGCATCATAGTGACTAACAGCACAGATTCAGGACTCAAAGGCTCTGTATATGAATCACAGCCCGATGACTGATCAGCTGTTGTTCTCATCTGCAAAATGGGGCAATATCCTTGGTTTAATATGATTGTTATGGGGATTATAATTCTGTACATAAAATTCACAGCCATCCTTTTGATTCCAACTCATAGTGACCCCGCAGGACAGACTGGAACTAGCCAGTTCTACTAGCTCCATCGGGTTTCCAAGGTTGTCATCTTTATAGAAGCAGATTGTCTCATCTTCCTCTCACGGAGCAGCTGGTGGGTTTAGAACCATCGACCTTCTGGTTAACAACCAAATGCCTTACCCACTACTCCACCAAAAAAAAAAGAAAAAAGAAAAAAACAAACTCACTGCCTTGGAGTCATTTCTGACTCTCCTTGGGTTTCCGAGGCAATCTCTCTACGGAAGTAGATTGCCCAATGTTCCTTTCAAGGAGTGGCTGGTGGGTTTGAACTGCCAGCCTTCTGGTTAGCAGTCAAATGCCTTAGGCATTACACCACCAGAGCTCTTTAATCTTTGCAAGTGCCACATCTTTCTCCTTCCGAGTTTCTGGTGGATTTGAACTGCTGACATTTCTGTTAACAGCTGAGCACTTAACAACTCTTGTCACCAGAACTCCTTCTTCTGGACCATGTTGTTGTTGTTATTTGCCGTCGAGTCGGCCCCGACTCATAGCGACCCCTCCTTGGGTTTCCGAGGCAGTATCACTACGGAAGTAGGATTGCCCAACCTTCCTTCCGAGGAGTGGCTGGTGGGTTTGAACCGCCAGCCTTCTGGTTAGCAGACAAGTACTTTAGCCACTATGCTACCAGAGCCAAATGGAAATTCAATGAGTTGATATTTATTATTGTTTTTATTTGATAGATGGGACTCCAGACCCCATCCTCCCAGATTCCACTACATTTGGTCTCCATGGAGACTTGTGGGCGGCTTTGCCCAAAGGGGCTGAGTTCTTGGTTCCCCTGGCTGGCTCCTGTGTGGCCATGGGCATGTCAGCTCTCTCTGGGCCTCAGTTGCCTCCTATGCTGAATGAGAGTCTGGACTCCATATTCTCTATTTAAGACTCCAGAGTTCCAAGAAGCAAACTCTGAAGGGTTAGGAAGAGAGAACCACGCCAGGTGAGGGCAGTATCTGTGCAAAGGTGTGTAGGCTTGGAAAATAGTGCTGTGTGGTCAATGCTACTGCATCTAAGATGGTCCTGACACTCCAGCACAGGACCAAGATGTTACCAGTCACTCTGTTCCTGCTCTGAGGGGGCCTCGGACCAGGTGTCAGGGAAACTGCCTGGGACCGCCGAACCCCGGCACTGACGTGAAGAAGGCGGAGTCGAGGGAGGGGACTTGGTCTCCCGAACAAAGAGGAGGGCGGGGAGGGTTTGTGCTGAAGGCTCCGCGGCTCGGACGACCCGAGTCGCTTAACCCCGGCTTGGGGCGCCCCCCCCCCGACTTTGGCACGGACCCTGTGTCCACCTTTCTGCGCCCACAGGACCAGCCCAGGCCACGGCTGCAGCGGTCCCAAGACTGCACGCCCCAACATCCTCGGGCCGCAAAGGAGCAGAGCCTTGGGGGGCGTGGCCATGAAATTGAATTCACCCAATGGAGCGCGATGGTGGGCGTGACCCGTCCGAGCATTGGCTGGAGCTGCGGCGCGGGGCGGAGCCAGTAGGGCTGCTGGCAAGGCTGGACGGGCAGCGATCGCAGAGCCCCGGGGACGGTTGCTGAGGGGGCCTGGGATTCTGGGTCGCCGCGCCTCCCGCCTGCCCGCCCCTCGTCCATCTGTCTGGTCCCAAGCGAACTAACCCAAGACCGCGCCAGAGGTGGGTTTGAGGGCCTCGGGGCGGCACCGGGAACCCGACGGGTTCGAGGGGTGGAACCCGGATATCTGGACAGGGCTTCTGGGACTCCCAGACCTGAAAGCCCTCATCCACTTCCCGGGCTCTAAGCCATAGAATAAAGTTTTGAGACCGCGGGGGAGGACGCCCATGGACCTCCAAGAGGTTCCACAACCCTTAGGGGTGCTAGTCAGTGGGGCAGATGTCCTGAGCAAGTGCCCACAGACCCCCGAGGTATCTGAGAACTGCAAATTGCGAGAAGGTTCCTCTTCGAGGAAGAAGAGACTTCCTACTGTCCCCTAGACGTCCCAGATTAGGCATTAGGGACCCCTGCCCCTCAGAAGATGTGGGAGAACCCAGAGTGTTCAAAGGCCCTAAGGTAACTGGTGACCACTAAGCAACATCCTTGGAGGTTACACCAGACAAAGTGGATAGATAAGAGGCAGAGACCACAAGGGACAGAGGTGGTTGACACCCTTCTGAGCTGATGGAGATGGAAGGATTTATCCGTGGCTCGAACCAGTAGGGTCACCAGACCCTAGCTGTGTGGACCAGGATTCCCTATAGACCCATGCACCGAATGGGATGACTCACCAAGTGACTGTTCTCAACGGGGGTGACTGAGGGATGAGTCAACGGGAATGGGGGAGCCATCCTGGGGCCATTTCAGCCACCAGATAGTAATAAGCATCTATGATGTAGTAGGCCGCAGGCCCCCAGATTCTGGAAAGACATCAGGGCTATAGGAGGAAGGAGAGAGGTGTGTCAGGGACTGGGTCAGGATTTAGGGGTCCACTTTGATGGGCAGTGATGAGGCCAGAGGGGTTTACTGGACCCTGAGTGCTCTTTGGACGGGGCTTTCAGAAGCCAGAGGTGGCCAAGGTTTCCTTTAAATCTCTTCCTGCCCTCTGGAGATACCTGAGTGAGTGGGAATGGACTCGGTGGCAGTGGGTTTGGTTTTGGTTTCCCTTGTGACAAATCCCTGACACTCGCTGAGCCTCTTGGTTTGTCTGAAATTCAAGGATTGGACATGTCAGCTTCTGAGAACCCTTCCAGCTGGGGAATTGAATTCTAAGTGTATGAACTGTCAAGAGGAACTGGGTGCCTGGACGACTGGCTTTATGGAGTCAGAATGGATGGAGTGTATATGCGGGAGGAGGGGAGGCAGGGAGAAGGGAAAGGGGCATGAGCAGAGGGCTGGTGGCAGACTTAGAAGACAGGGTGTCACCTCCAGTGGCTTAAGCCACCTGGGGACATGGGAGTGGCAAAGTCAGCACTGGTTGGACATAGACTCAGCTTTCAGGATGGGAGGGGGCTGGGCAGGTCCAAGGGATGGGTGGGGGGGCAGGAAAACTATAGAGACTGGTGGGCACCCCCTGGTGGTAAGGACAGATTGCGTGGGCCATGTTGGGCCCCAACTTCTCAGTACAGGTCCCTGCCCTTGTCTGATGCTTAGACAGATGAGAGGCCAGCCCAAGCCACACAGGCTGGCAGTAGGGACACCCCACCACCAACAACTCTTGGTCTGGTGAGTTTTCCGGCAAACCACATACACTAGGCCAAAGGGCAGCTCCCAGCCAGGTGCCACACACAGGAGCAGGTAGGTTGGGTAACAACAGATGCATACGGGCCGTAGAGGGAAACTGAGCCTAAGTGCCTGTGACTTCTAGAGGCACCAGCAAGCCTGACCTCTGTCTGTGTCAACAGAATCCCCTGAGCTGTTATCAAGTGCCACAAGCACCGGAGAGCTCGCTGGAAGGGGACAGACGGAGCTAGAGGCCAGTGAGATGGCGGATGATGCCTTGGCTGGGCTGGACGAGGGAGCCCTTCGGAAGCTGGTAAGTGGCCCTGTCTTCTTCCCCACCGTAGCACAGGGCAAGCCAGGCAGAGCCTGTCCAGGCCACCTCAAGCTGACCGGAGGAGGTAATAGGGACCGGAGGGAGAGGAAGAGGACAGCAGTAGGCCCGTTCTGCCTGGCCAACGTGGAGGCCTCTGTGGTATGTGCCTGCCTGTGCCAGGTGCTAAGGCCCAGCTCCCCGCCCCCCCAGCCCCTATGCCACCATCTGTTTAAACAGTAACTGCTGGGGACCAGCCCACGTACAGCCACAGGTGTGGGGAGGTCAGCGTTGCCTCTCCTAGGTAACAGCCTGGGTAATGCAAGGATAATGGCAGCAGCAAGGGTTTATAATGCCATGGCATGGCAGGGGGCAGGTCCGATTATGAATGAACCACCCCACAAAACGCTGGACACAGCAGCTTCCAAAACCTGGAGGACACTGTGCTCACAGGTGAAATCACTTGCCCAAGGGCACCGCTAGGAAGAGGCTACAGCAGCAGCCAAACCCAGAGCCCTTGCTCCTTTGGGCTACAAGGCTTAGGCCGTGGAAGAAGGCTGAGAAGGAAAGGACAGGCTGGGTCAGCACAAGCTGGTCCTGTGCCCGTGGTGGGAAAAGCAGCTCACAGGCTAGCCAGGGCGCCCAGCTCAGAACCCACGATGGGGCAGCAGAGAGACAGCGTTTGGAGGCCCTTCTGAGCTTGATGACCTAAGGCCTGCCATTTTCCCCACTCTGAGCCTCGGTTTCTCTGCCTGCAAAATGAGGGAGAGGGGGTTTGTGAGCACATCGGCTAGGTTCTAGGGTTGGCCTAGGGATGAAATAAGGCATGGGCCCCTTAAGGGGAAGAAGGATGGGTCTACCCTTCTTCCAGCTTCTGTTCAGTGGCTAGACCGGCAGGGAGGATGGGGCAGTGAAGTAGGGCACCACCTCTGTCCATACTGTTAGCAGTAGGGCAGGAAGCCCAGGGGCACCATGAGCAAACACTCCTCTAAGCATAGGGCCTAGGCTTAGGCCCTTGTGGGTGGTCACAGTGCATGTCCTATCTACCCCCAGGCACAGAGAGGCTGTGGGGCAACAAGGTCCAACAATAGGGCAAGGATGTGCCTACCAACCAGGCCAAGTAGCAGTTGAACTGGGGGAGGGGGAGGCAGAGCACCCCCACAAACAACCCCCCCCCCAGCCCCAGCCCCTTGCCCAGGAGAGAAATTAAAGATTTCCCTTCTGCCCCACCTCCATGCCACTCCCCTGGGGGCAAAGGCTGGACCCAGGGTCAGCTGGTGCTCTGACCTGAAGGACTCACCCGTGTGTCCTCAGACCAGTGTCTTGGACTCTCTGGGTGTCTGTCTCGGCTGGCTGTACAACTTGGAGGGGATGGAGGTCAGTGCCACCTCCCCTCAGGAAGTTGAAGTTCCTATGGGGGTGTTAGAACAGAGGGAGAGCGGGCCTGACCCCATTCATCCTTATCTCATGGGCTCCACGCTGAGGCTGGGGTTCACCTGCCTGGGCTTGGGCGCTGGAAAAGCGTTTCAGAGAAGCCGGGAGGTGCCCCTCTCTGACGTATGCCCACCACCATTCCTTCACCCCCTCCCCAGGAAGGGCAAGCAAGACTCCACTCCCCACGGAGCAAGTCTCGAGGCCACCCTAGGGCTTCCCACCTGAGACCCTGCCCCTCCTCTGCTGGGTGTCAGCCATTGCTGTGCCCCTGAGTCCGCCGAGGGTCCCGCCCCGCCCGTCGGCCCGGCCCCCGCCAGCCTCGTGGCAGGGACTGGCGCGTCCCTCCCTGCAGGGCCAGGCCTTATTAGGGAAAGCTGGGCCCGTTCCGCCGAACCCGCACCCTCGCGCGGGGACGATTCGGGGACCCTGGCGGCCGCTCCCGGCCTCTGCTCCCGCACTGCCTAGAGACTGGGCTGAGGGCTGCGCGGAACGAGGACGCTGGAAACACCTCCGCGCGCCGAGACACCTACCCCCGCCACCCCCCACACACACACACGCTTCCGCCCCGGGCTTCAGTGCCGCCATTCATTACCAGGGTGACCTGCGGAAACCCCTTAACTTCCCTGAACCTCAGTGTCTTCTCCGTAGACGAGGACATTAAACCACACGGTAGTGTGGCTGGATGCCCCCTCCGCGCTTAGCGCGGGCCGGGTGGGCGAGGCTCGGGCCGCGCTGGGGGAAGAGGGGCGTCTAGGAGCTGCAAGCCTTCAGCGCCCCCTGGCGAAGCTTTGCCACATCGCCAGCGGGTGCCTCAGGAGTAATTAGGGAGTCGGGGCTGAGGGAACGCCTGGACAGTCCCCTCCCGTTGTGCTGGTGGGAAGCCTGAGGCCCAGAGAGGCCCACCCGTCCGTGGGACACCACCCCCACCCCACCTCCGTCCAGCAGCACGCGCAGAAAAGTACCCGCAGGCTCGGCCCTCCGGGGAAGGAAGCGCCTTCCCGGGAGAATTTCACTGGGCAGTTTCGGAAACCGCCCCTTCCCTTTCCCCTTACCCCTTGTGGACAATGGCGCTTTGTACTTCCTCCCCCGGCCCCACCCCCAGCCCCCCCCCCAACACACACCGAGGTGGGACCAAGAGGGAGGAGATAGAGGAACACAGTGGGGGGCACTGTGGGTGGACCTTTGCCTCCGGGCCCACAGGGAGGGTCAGTGGGAGGGTGGTCAGTGGAGGTTGTCCACCCCCACCCCAACCCCCAGCCCGGACCCACCTCCTTGGGGGAGCCGATGCAGGATGCAACTTCCCATATGGAGACACTGAGGCTCTCAGGGGTTGTAGAGATGGCCAGGTCCCCTTAACAGCCTATTTTCAGAGGCAAGGACCCCATCTCTGGAGGCGCCCTGGGTGTTGGAAAAGGCGACCAAGGAGGCAAAGGGCTAGTCATTAAACTTCTGGCCCTCATTTTACCCTGTGCCCAGGAAAGGCTAGACCAGCTGTTCCCTCAAGGCCCACAGGGGGCTCTGGATTTGAGGCAAGGCCAGCACTGAGGGGTAAATGAGTCTCCTAGTGGCCCAATCTCATGTTCCCAAGTCCCTTCCCTCTGCTATAATAGCCCCTTAGGCTCCAGGGCACCTCCAGTGCAGGCTAGAGGGGCCCTCAAGACAGGCTCCCACCATGGCAGACAAACCTGTCCTCAGCCCAGGGATGACCCTGAAACCTGGTTCAAGTCCTGACTCCAGTGTTTCCCAACCATGTGTCCCTCGGCAAATCACTTCTCCTTACGCATCAGGTCCCTCATCTGTCAGATGGGAGTAATAAAGTACCCCCTCCTAGGAATTTTTGTGAGGTTAGGACATGTGAGGGGCTTGGCACAGGGTCTGCCCCCTGCCATGAACCAAAGCCAAACTTAATGTCATCGAGTCAATTCTGAGGCTATAAATTTTTACAGAAACAGACTGCCTCATCTTTCTTCCACAGAGCGGCTGGTGGGTTCGAACCACCGACCTTTTGATTAGCAGCCAAATGCCTTAACCATTGTACCACCAGAGCTCCTAGCCCCTCTATTAGGTGATCAATAAATGGTACTGATCCCTCTAGGTATCCCATCCTTCCTAGTTGACCTCTCTCCTGTCTGGAACCAAGTGCAGAGGTGGTGCTTACTGCATCCCAGCTGTGCAGGGGACCCTGAGTCACTACCCCTACCCCCACCCACTGCCCCAAGGTGAGGGTCATTGTCCCATCTGGCAAATGAGAAACCCAAGGCACAGAGAAGTTAAGGGATGTGCCCCTCCTAGCCAGGACTGGACTGGGGCTGGAGTCAGCTGGGCTTCTGACCCCACCCCCAAGCAGCCCCTCCTGGCTTGAACCTCAGGGAACCTCCCCGTGGCTCCTCAGGAATGCAGAGCCAAAAGCAACTCAGGGAGGGCTCTGCCCCCCTAGGATTCACCCTACTCTCTTCCAACTGGGATGTCACCTCATAGCTGGATCGGGCCAAGCTTCCTGCCGAAACCCATCTCTCCCCTTCCCTCTCCAGCCCCCAGCCCCCTCTCCCCAACACACACACTGAGCAAGAAGCAATGTCCCTGGGTGGGGGTGGGGGGAATTGGGCAGGGAGAGGACTGCTAGGCCCTGGCTATTGAATGGCCATCTGCCTGTTAGACCCATACCGGAGGCTTATCTCTGTCACCCTGTTGGGGGCCCCTGGGCCATTCCTCTCTCCCTTGAGCCACAGAGGCTCCCTGGGGGGTGGCCCTGGCAGGTGGAAGTATGGTGAAGGCAATGGGATTAGCTGAACATGCCCTTTCCCAGACCTGGTTGGACCAGCCACTCCCAATTTCCCAGGGAAAGAGGGGCTGAGAAGCTGATAAGAACACCTATCCCACATGGACATCCTTTCCAGTGTCCAGGGTGGCCCCTAAAAGCGACTACCTCATTTGTTTCAGGGGCCCAGCCCCTTTGATGATGGCTAGCTTTGAGCCAGTGCAGGCGGTGGGGGTGGGGTGGGGGGAAGGAATAGCCCCTAGCCGGGCTAGGAACCAGGATTCCTAAGCTGCTCCTTCAGCTTAACTACATCCTGCTGTGCCTCAGTTCCCCAGGTAACCAATGTAGATGAACAAGGTGGTGGTACCTTGAGACTGGGGCTGTGGACGTTTTTCTTGATCACAGGGTGTATTCCTGCTGCCCACACCACCCTTCCCTCCCTAGGGAGACTGTTCGGGGCTCACAGGATGACATACCCTCCAGCTGAGTCTCCCTGGTTCTCGGGGGTTTGATAGAGAAGGGCTGTGAGGGACAGGAGGAACTGGAAGGAGTGCCCAGTCACAGTAGGTGCACTGTGGGGTCTCTGGGCATCCGTGGTGCAGTGGACTGGGTCTCCCCGAGAACCCTGGGTGGGCGAGCAGGCATGTGAAGAGCCCCGGGCAGAGGGAGTGGAGACAGACCACTCATTGTGCCCTGGGCAAAGTCGTGGGCAGCTGGTACCCGCCCTCTGCCCTTGGCAACCAAAATGACCTACCCGTCGCCCCCGCCCGCCCCGCAGCTGGAGGTCACAGCGGATCTGGCCGAGCGGCGGCGCATCCGCTCAGCCATCCGGGAGCTGCAGCGACAGGAGCTGGAGCGCGAGGAGGAAGCACTGGCCTCCAAGCGCTTCCGTGCCGAGCGGCAGGACAACAAGGAGAACTGGCTGCAGTGAGTGCCGGGGCACTGGACGTGCCTGTGGGAGGGAGGCAGTGTGTGTGCCAGGGCTCAGCTCGCGTGCACACAGGCAGGACCACATCCTTGCCCAGCTGTGTGTGCGCACGGCAATACACTGATACGTTCGGAATATACTGGCACGTGTATGGGTCTGGACCCCGGATAGCACCTCTAAATGGGTGGTGTCAGTGCTCAGGGTCACCGCCCCAGCCTCCCTCCGGCCTCCGTGCCCCAGCCATGGCCAGGGTGGTCACAGTGGTGATGTCCCCGCAGCTCACAGCAGCGGGAAGCAGAGCAGCGGGCCGCCCTGACGCGCCTGGCACAGCAGCTGGAGTCCGTGAGCGATGTGGAGGAGCTGACTGCGCTGGTGAGGCCCAGGCGGGGGCAGAGGATGGTGGACAGGGCTGGCCCCCAGCCCTGCCCCCATGGCCTACCTCTCACCCACAGCTGCGAGGTGCTGGCGAGTATGAGGAGCGCAAGCTGATCCGAGCCGCCATCCGCCGCGTGCGGGCCCAGGAGATTGAGGGTACGTGGCCTGGCCCCCTGCCCGGCTGCCCACAGCACCTCCCAGCCACTCGCCTGACACTTGCTCCTTCCTTCCAGCTGCCACCTTGGCCGGGAGGCTGTGTAGCGGGCGTCCCATTGGTGGTTCAAGAGAGGACAGCAAGGGGCGGGCAGCACATAGGCTGGAACGGCGTGAGGTAAGGGGCATGGGCGGGGTGGGGTGGTGGCCCTAGCATCCTGTGCCCACAGATTCCAGCAACAGAGCACCTGTGTGTCTTTCCTTGACTGAGAGGGGCCCTCAGCCTGGCTTGAAGGGCTTTAGAACTCCTTGTCAGGTCTCTGCCCACTTTTCCAGGCAACCTCTTGCCACACCTCCCCTGCTCCAGGCTCTTTGCCCCTCTTAGGCCTTCCCCTCCACGCCAGCCTGTCTACACTGCTCCCAAATTCCTGTCCTGCACCCTTTCACCACGCTTGTTGAAACACAGGCATTTCTCTCAGAAATGGCACCCTGCTGACCTCCCTGCCACCGCCTTTCCTCCCACCACCACCATCCGAACCTCCACTCAGCAGCCAGAGGGATCTCCCTGAAATGCAAATCTGACCTTGGTACCATCCCTGCTTACACTGCACTCTCTAGACACAGCCCCACATCCTTACCTTGGCTTACCTGGGTCTATGCTGGAGCAATTTTCACAGAGACCTCTCTGTTCTCCAGGGAGAAGTCAGGCTGAGCAGGGGAGTGGCAGGCTAGTCTGAGCCTTGAGTGGCCCAAGCCATTACCTAAGTGGCCAGCAGAGGCCCCTGGGTCCCTGATTCTGACAAAACCCCTTCTGCACTCCAGTTGACCAGGCTGAGGCCAATGCTCTATTAAGGCTGGGAGCCTCCAGTAGGTCTCTTGCTCTTCCCAACCCTTGAACCCCAGAGGCCTCCTCAGGTCCAGGCAGTCCCCGACACTCCCTCCACTGCCCCTGAGCCACTCCTGCCCTCTCTGAGCCACTACTGGCTAGGCAATGCCAAGAGGTTGGGAAGTGGGGCTCAGAGACTGCCCACAGCACGCCAGTGCCCATACTCGTACAGGTGTGCCTACTGGAAGCTGTGCCCAGCCCCTCTGCTTTGCATGCCCTGCCCTGGGCACCTGCCAGCCTGGCCCTCAGTGAGCAGGGGTAGCACTTGCGGCCTGGAGCTTTGGTTACATGCTGTGGACCCCATGCAGGTGCCGGAGCCAGAGGAACAGAAGCAGCAGGCAGGGGCCCCTGAGCTAGCCCCAACTCCTGAGGGCACCAGCCAGGATGTAACCACAGTGACACTCCTGCTGCGGGCCCCTCCCGGGGACACACCCAGCTCGCCAACCTTACTCAACAGTTCGCCCACCACTGCCTCCCCTGAGCCTCCACTGGAGCCTGCCGAGGCCCCGTGCCCTGCTTCCGAGGCTCCGGGCAGCCCTGAGCCCCCTAGCCCACCTGAGGACACCAGCCCTGCGCCCCAGGAGCCACCAGCCTCATGCAGCACTGAGAGGCGGAGAGTCAACAGGGTGAGTCTGGATGAGGCGCAGGGATACCAGGCAGGTGAGCTTCTTGGTGTGGGAGTCAGGCCCTGCTTATGCTGTGTTTCCCCTCAGCTCCCGTCTGAAGCCCAGGGTCCCACCAGAAGTGCCTCCAACACAAAGAGAACAGGTGAGGGTCCTGCCAGGCGTAGCATGCACCTGCCTTCCCTCCCCTGGCCTCCATGGCCCTGCCTGGAGAATGGGCTCGTGGGCAGCTCTAGCCTCCTCAGGTCCAGGCAGTCCCCGACACTCCCTCCACTGCCCCTGAGGTGTCCCTGGCCAGGCTTACCGCCCCCACCCAGGGCCAGAGGCCTCCCCACAGCCTTGAAAGGCAACGGGCCTCAGGCACATTCTTTTCCCCAATAAGGGAGTGCACCCATCTCCTGGCTGGAGCTGTGGGCAGCACTGGCCAGGGAGGTGTCCCCCATTCCCACCCTCCCTCCAGCCCAAACCTTGCCCTGGCCCCAGATGGTGCCCAAGTCATCCTGGGATCAGTGTGTGTGGGAGGGGAGGAACTGTACGAGATGCAGGCCGGGTGAGGAGGTTGGGAGGTGGAGGGGTGCGGGAGGACTTGGGAGGCTGGAAGGGTTGGGGAGATGTAGGAAGGGTCAAGTAGGCTAGGGGGGTAGGGCTGGGGACATGAGGCACCCACCTCAGGTGAGCCCTCCCTTCTGCTCTCCTTTTTCTTCCCCCACGTGGCCACTACCCACTCCCCAACCTGCCAGACCTGGCCGGACCCCGTCCATGCCAACGCTCCCTGTCCGTGCTCAGCCCCCGCCAGCCAGCCCAGAACCGAGGTACTACCTGTTCGCACTCCTCTTCCCCAGGCCCTGGGCAGTTCCTGGTCCACCCAACCACTGACAGCCCTCCTGTCCGTTTCAGAGCCTACCCCCCTAGCCAGTGGACCTTCCCCGTTCCAGCGGGCTGGCTCTGTGCGGGACCGCGTCCGCAAGTTCACATCTGATTCTCCCATGGCTTCTGGGCTCCAGGACGGCCCACCCCGGGTGGCCCTCAGCACCCCGGGCCCTGAGAGGATCCTGGGCCCCTCCCTCCCCAGCACCACCCCTGCTTCCTCCTCCAGCGGCTCCTCCTCAAGGGGCCCCAGTGATACCTCCTCCCGGCTCATTAAGGAGCAGCCAAGAACAGCCCAGCCCCTGGCCCAGCTTCGGAGCTGCCCTCCGGAGGAGGGCCCCAGGGGGCGGGGCTTGCCTGCCAGGCCCCTTGAAAACAGAGCAGGGGGGCCCGCCACCCGCTCAGAGGAGCCCAGTGCCCTGCTGCCCGTGGCCACCGGCACTGCCGAGCCAGGGGGCAGCATGAAGACCACTTTCACCATCGAGATCAAGGATGGCCGTGGCCAGGCCTCCACAGGCCGGGTGCTGCTGCCCGCCAGCAGCCAGAGGGCAGGTAGGCCTCCCCACTGCCTCCCACTGCTGGGCAGAGTGCCCACGGCCACTCTACTCTGCATGGAGAACAGGGACTGCAGCTGAGGCTCAGGGTATCTGCAAAGGTTACACGGGGTGCGGCGGGGGGAGCATCAACTCGGGCTGGCCCTGCCCTCACACGGCCTGATCCTTACAGCAGCTCTTCTCTCCCCCAGAGGTGACACTGGGGCTGCGGGCACCACCCACTCTCCTCAGCACCAGCCGAGGGGGCACAAGCACCATCACCCATGTCAGCAGCCCTGGGACCCTGGCCCGGCTGGGCAGCGTTACTCATGTCACCAGCTTCAGCCATGCCTCCCCTGCTAACCGGGGAGGCTACAGCATTAAGGTGAGCCCCTTTTACCCTACGAGTCCTACCATCTGCTAACTTCACACACACAGACTGCTCAGAGGTGTAAGGGGCAGGATTCTCCCGCTCCTTTCTTCCCCCAGTGCACAGATAGGGAAACAGAGGCCCAGAACGGAAAGGTGGCTGCCTGTGGTCCATAGCCAGTTGGTGGCCAGGCTCTGGCATTCAGCCACTAGGCATGTCAGTAGCTCACTCTGTTAATGGTCTTCAGCTTCTCACACACTAATCTCTCTGATCCTTACTCCAGAACTGGTTGGTTCATTCCTACTAAACAGATCAGAAAACAGGCTGAGAGAGAGCAGTACGGGCTTGCCCCTCTTTCTGTGCTTGCCTCATGGCTCCCTGCTCCTGCTCCACACTGGACATCAGCCCTGAGGCTCAGAGCTGCCTATCTGCTCATCCAAGACCAGCCTGGCCCTTTAGGAGATGGGAGATTCATGATTAGCATCAGCGTCAATATCCCGGTGGCAGGGGTTGGGCAGAAGCATTGATGGGGGACAGACAGGCAGGGGGGCACCGGTCAGGTGAGGCAGCAGGCTAGCAGGTGCCTCAGGAACTGAATACGAGGCACCCTTCCATTATTCATTCCCAAGCCTGGGATCAGCTGGCTGGAAGCTCAGGTGGGGAAGGGATCGCCAGCAGCCACCCAGGTAATAACCTCTTATGCTGCATCTAGGACTGAATGGGACTTAGGCTTCGGTGGGTTGGCTGGAGTTTGGGGCTTTCTCAGGGATGGCAGGGGGAAGGAGGGAGCAAGAAGGCACCCTGTCTCCCAGAAAGCAGATGACTGAGGCCCTTGGGCGTTGGAGTGGGAGGTGCCACAGTAAGCCCTGCGTCGGACACCACTAACTTGCCTCAGTTTCCCCCTCTGAGAGCCAAAGGGGAGCGGAAGAGATGCCTGTAAGGTTCTTGCTCAAAGTCTGTGGTTGGTTGTGAGCCCCACAGGCAGGCCAGAGGATGGTGACCTCAGGGACAAGATGCTTATTATAGCAGATGGCTCTAAGGCCCGCCACCATGTCCCCCACCGGGTCAATGCCTTCTAAAGCAGTGAGAAATGAGGGCAAAACAGTATAGGCTCTGAAGTCTGGTCCTCACAGCTCATGTACACACGGCTCAGGCAGGCCCTGGTCCACTCCCTGCCTCAATCTCCCCATCTGCGGGTATGGGGTGCTGGCCTTGGTCATCCTTCAGAACGCTTGAAGCCTTGCTGTGCCACGGGTCTGTCACCTCTGCAGGGCCAGGCCTGGCTGTCCGCCCACTTGGGCTGATCACCCCTCCCCCACTGCTCCTCCACAGGGGAGCCCAGAATAGGTTTCTATTTGGGCCAAAGCCCCAGCTGGCTGGTGGGTGGCTGACTGGGAGGCCAGCAGGGGCGGGGCAGGCCCAGCTGCCCTTGCCTTCGCCCTCCGGCCAGCTGCAAAGACTCCGACACTGCCAGCCGGCGGCAGCAGCCCCTGCCACTGTCCCTACCATCACCTCCGTACGGCCCCCTCCAGCACCATGCCCGGGGTTCCGGGGCCTCAACCTGAGTTGAGTGTGGCCCTCGAGGACCGGCTGGGCCGGGCACTGGAGGAGCTGCGGGCGGTGGCTGAGGCCGGCCGGGCGGCAGTGATCCAGGCAGCCGAGGCAGCTGCCACAGCCGTGGAGCCAGTGGCCCGGGCAGCCGAAGGCCTGCGGGCAGATACAGCGGCGCTGGGCCGGAGGCTTGACGCGCTGGTCAGGCAGGTGGAGGTGCTGAGCCTGCGGCTGGGGGTCCCGCTGGTTCCCGACCTCGAGCCTGAGCTGGAACCTAGCGAGCTGCTCCTGGCAGCTGCTGACCCCGAAGCCCTCTTCCAGGCGGCTGAGGATGCCGGGACCCCCGTGGCCCACCCACCTGCCTTCAGCTCCTGCCGCCGCTCCTCAGCCAGCCCTGCCCGCAGCGGCAGTGTCGTAAGTCTCTAGAGATTGGGGGAGGGGTAGTATGGGGCCAGGCTCTGCCCCTGCTGAGTGACCTCAGGTGTGCCACCACCTTCTCTGAGCCTCTGGTTACTTATTAGTACAGAGGACTGGGGCACCAGTGCTCCAAGACCAGGGCAAGAGAGAGCCAAGCTCTTGGCCCTTGGGCACGAGTGCCAACTGCCCTGGCAGCCCCTACCCGTGGCCCAGCCCCCAGCCCCACCCCCACCTCAGCCAGGCCAGGCCTCCCAGACAGCTGCCATCTCAGCTCTTCTTACTGTAGAGGTGGGTGGGTGGGCAGAGAGGCCCTGCCAGGAGGGGTGGGGCTGTGAGAGGTGGGCCAGGGGCTTGTCTACAAGGGGCTGGGGCCTGCCCTGGGTGGGGTCTGAGCTAGGCTGGAGCTGGAGGCCCCTTAGAGGGTGCTTCCTGGCCAGGAGGGGCCCAGGAGGAGCTTCAGAGAGGACTTGGCTCTGGACAGCCCCAGTCAGACACCTGGTCAGGAGCCTACAGGCCCTGGTCCAGCCCCCTTGGAGGTGGCAGTGATGGGGGAACGTGTGCTGCCTGGGCGCTGGCCCAGGAGGACCCAGGCTTAGGAACTGGCAGGACAGACAAGAGCCTGCCTGGGAGGGACTGGGAGTAAAACAACAAAGAGCTTCGGCTCAGGAGTTAGACCATCTTCAGCTCAGACCCTAGGCTGCCTCACACTTAAAGAGAGACTGTGGGCAAGTCACTCAGCTGCCCCAAACCTCCATCTTCCCTTCTGTTAAATATTGTTAAGTGCTGTCGAGTCGGTTCCAACTCACAGCAACCCTATGTACAACAGAATGAAACACTGCCCAGTCATTGCTTTGTTTGAGCCCATTGTTGCAGCCGCTGTGTCAGTCCATCTTCTTGAAGGTCTTCGTCTTTTTCAAGCTGACCTTGCCAAGCATGATGTCCTTCTCCAGCGACTGATAACATGTCCAAAGTGCGTGAGACAAAGTCTCACAGTCCTCCCTTCTCAAGAGCACTCTACTCTGGCTGTACTTCTTCCAAGACAGATTTGTTCATTCTTCTGGCAGTCCATTCAATATTCTGTGCCAACACCATAGTTCAAAGCATCAGTTCTTCTTGGGTCTTCCTTATTCACTGTCCAATTCTCACATGCCTATGAGGCAACTGAAAATACCATGGGTCAGATGCACCTTAGTCTTCAAAGTGACATCTTTGTCCTTCACTTTAAGGAGGTCTTTGGCAGCAGATTTGCCCACTATAACGCATCGTTTAATTTCTTGACTGCTGCTTCCATGGGAGTTGATTGTGGATGCCAAGTAAAATGAAATCCTTGGCAACTTCAGTCTTTTCTCCATTTATCATGTTGTTTATTGGTCCAGTTGTAGGGATTTTTTGGTTTCTTTATATTGAGGTGTAATCCATACTGAAGGCTGAAGTCTTTGATCTTTATCAGTAAGTGTTTCAGCTCTCCTTAGCTTTCAGGAAACAATGAGACTTCCTTCAATCCTGATGCCATTTTCTTCTTCATGTAGTCCAGCTTCTTGTATTATTTGCTCAGCATACGTACTGAATACGTATGGTGAAAGGATACAACCCTGACACACCTATCTTGATTTAAAACCATGCAGTATCCCCTTGTTCTGTTCAAATGACTGCCTGTTGATCTAGTTACAGGTTCCTCATGAGTACAATAAAGTGTTCTGGAATTCCCATTCTTAGCAATGTTATCTATAATTTGTTATGATCCACACAGTTGAATGCCTCTGCGTAGTCAATAAAATGCAGGTAAACATCTTTCTGGTATTCTCTGCTTTCAGCCAAGATCCATCTGACAACAGCAATAATATCCCTCATTCCTCTTCTGAATCTGGCTTGAATTTCTGGCAGCTCCCATCAATGTACTCTTGCAACTGGTTTTGAATTTTGTTCACCCAAATTTTACTTGTGTGTGATATTAATGGTATTGTTCTATAATTTTCACATTCTGTTGGATCCCCTTTCTTTGGAATGTTAAAGAGAGACAGTAAAACTCCTAATGCATCCACAATGCTTACTACTGAATGGTGGTTGTTGTGTGCTGTGAAGTCAATTCCTACTCACACCGACCCTATCGGATAGGGTAGAACTGGCAAATAGGGTTTCGAAGGCTTTACAGAAGCAGACTGTCACATCTTTCTCCCATGGAATGACTGGTGGGTTCGAACCAACAACCTTTTGGTTAGCAGCCAAGCATTGCACTGCCAGGGCTCTTTACTGAACGGTAGTTATTATTATTGCTGCTGTTAATTATATTAATATGATTGTAGATGTCAGGGAGACCCTACAACAAGGCTACCAGTTCCTCATGAGTGCAATAAAGTGTTCTGGAATTCTCATTCTTAGCAATGTTATCTATAATTTGTTATGATCCACACAGTTGAATGCCTTTGCATAGTCAATACAATGCAGGTAAACATCTTTCGGAGCCTGACAACATGGCCATCCCTGAACAGGCAGACTGGAAAGCACGTGGTTATTTCCAAGGCTATGCCAGCAGCCCCAGGGCCTGGTCTCCCATCCGCTAGGGACATAGTTAGGATTCACCCATGTCCCTGTTCCAAACCCATACCCTCCCCTCACCCCACAGATGGAACCAGAGCCAGCAGAGCCCCCCTCTGCAACAGTGGAAGTGGCCAATGGCGCTGAGCAGGCCCGAGTGGACAAAGCCCCAGAGCAGCGAAGCCCCCTGAGTGCTGAGGAACTGCTGGCCATAGAGGACGAGGGTGTCCTGGATAAGATGGTATGGCCAGAGCTCATGGGCTGAGGGTTGCCCGGGGCAGGGACCAGCAGGCCACCAGGGGAGCAATGACAAGACCTCTGTCTGCAGCTGGATCAGACCACAGACTTTGAGGAACGGAGGCTCATCCGGGCTGCACTACGTGAGCTCCGACAAAGGAAGAGAGGTAGAGTGCCAGCTGCCCCCCACCCTCGGGCAGATTCAGCCGCTCCTTTCCCCAGCTGTCCCCCTCCCCCTGGGGTCCATTCATGGCCAGTCCAGCTCAACAACTGCCCCAACTACTTCTTCCCTAGACCCAGCTGTTCCTTTGCCTAGCTACTTTCTAGATGGACCCAGGTACCCTTTGTACACAGCTACTCCTTCCCCCTGGATTCAGCTGCCCCCTTCCCTAGCTGATTCTCTCCCTCTGGGTCTATTCATGGCCACCCCAGTTACTACCCCCACCCAACTTCTCGTCTCCTTCCTAGACCTTCCTCCAGCTACTCTCTCCTTGGATTCAACTGCTTCTCCAAGTACTCTCAACTATTTTTTTCTGAGTCCAGATGTCTGAGGTCCACTGATGGCCACCTTGATCTCTGCCCTCAACCCAGCTTCTTTCATGACTATAGCTACCTACTCTCCCCAGAAACTTCCTACCTGGACCCAACTCTTCTTTCTTCCAGATTGTAGACTTATTTGCTTCTCAAAAAAAAAAAAAAAAAAAAAAACAAAAATCAAACCCATTGTCACTGAGTGGATTTCAACTCATAGCAACTTGTTAGGAGTAGAACTGCCTCATAGGGTTTCCAAGGCTGTAAATCTTTATGGAAGCAGACTGCCACGTCTTTCTCCCACAGAGCAGCTGATGGGTTTGAACCACCAACCTTTGGGTTAGCACTGCAAGGCTTCACCCACAGCGCCACCAGAGCATCTATTTGCTTCTCTAAAACCAAACCAAACTCACTGCCATTGAGTCAGTTTTGAATCATAGGGACCCCTTGCTTCCAAGGCTGTAAATTTTGACTGAAGCAGACTGCCCCATCTTTCTCCCATGGTGGTGGGTTTGAACCAACAACCTTTTGATTAGCAATGCCTTAACCACTGTGTTAGACTGGGTTCTCTAGAGAAAGAAAACCAGTAAAGCTTATATATATATATATATGTATATATAGAGAAATTTATCTTAGGAAAATGGCTCACACACTTATGTTGTTGTTGTTGTTATATGCCATCGAGTCGGACGCAACTCATAGCGACCCCTCCTTGGGTTTCCGAGGCAGTATCACTACGGAAGTAGATTGCCTCATCTTCCTTATGAGGAGTGGCTGATGGGTTTGAACTGCCAGCCTTCTGGTTAGCAGTCATGTGCCTTAGGCACTACGCTACCAGAGCTCCCACACACTTATGTTGTTGTTGTTGTACCTGGCAATTCCAAAGTTCCTGGATCAAACATCAAGCTGGAGGCTTTTCCTGACTCCTGCAGCCCCAGGGGCTGAGGAGCTCAAGGCTGGCAGGCAGTACACCGGCTGTTGACTCCAACGAATGACGAATCCAAGATCTCCAGGTCGAATGGTGGACTGTTCACTCACGGACAGTTGTAGGTAGCACACATCCGATCCACAGAAGAATGAATGTCTCTTTTCCCAGGATGTCCTTGGATATACTGGAAGCAGGCCACACCCCTAGGGAAACTCCCTTTCAACAGATTGCCTGCTCAAACATAATCATCTGATCCCATCATGGGAATAACCACATCACAACAGCTTAAACCACACAGAACTGTGGTCCAGCCAAGTTGACACACAGCTCTATCACAACCACTACACCACCAGAGCTCCTTAGCTGTTTCTCCAGATACTGTCAATTCTCACCTCTCTGGATTCAATTCTCTGAATCCAGCTTCTTCCTCCAGATCCTACTGATGGCCACCCCAGCTTCTATCCCCATCCTATTCTGTTTTCTTTAGGCTCTGTTCTTTCCCAACTTTTTTTTTTTTTTCCCCTCCTGGATCTGATTGCTTCTCAGGCACCTCCAATTTTTCCCTTTCTTCTTCCTGGATCTAGATATTCCTTCCTTCAGCTGCTCTTCTCCCTGTACAGCCCATTTGATGGCCCATTCAGCTACTGCCTTTACACAGCTTCTCTGTCTTTGAACTCGGCTACTCCTTCCCTAGATCTAGATACTCCCTCTTGACTCAGCTACTTATTCCCATAGAAACTCCCACCTTGGATCCAAATACTACTCCTTTGAGTTCAGCTACTCCATGTTTCCTTATTTCCGCCTGAGTCCAACATCACTGCCTCATTCCCTGCCAAGTTATAGCTCTCCCTGCACCCCCAGCTGATCCTAAACCAAAACCAAACCAAACCCACTGCCATCAGGTCGATTCCAATTCATAGCAAACCCCGTTGGGTTTCCAAGGCTGTAAATCTGTATGGAAGTAGATAGCTTTATCTTCCTCCTGGGGAGCAACTGGTGGGTTTGAACCCCCAGCCTTCTGGTTAACAGCCAAAGGCTTTACCCACTACGCCACTAGAGCTCCTTCCAGCTGATCCTAGAGGGGCCTTTATCACCTAGGTCAGTTGTGTTTCTAACAAGCTGCCCTTCCCCCCATCTGTGTGCCCTATGTGCTTGTGTGTGTGCGCGTGTGTGTGCTGTGTGGCATCGGGCGGCCCTTCTGGACATGCGTGGGGCATCCCTGCCCAGACCAGCGGGACAAGGAGCGGGAACGGCGGCTACAGGAGGCACGGGCCCGGCCAGGGGAGGGCCGGGGCAACACAGCCACTGAGACCACCACACGGCACAGTCAGCGGGCAGCAGATGGCTCAGCTGTTAGCACAGTCACCAAGACCGAGCGGCTCGTCCACTCCAGTAAGAACCCAAGCGGGGCACACGGCTGGAGGCTCAGGGCTCAGGGTGGGACTGCGTCCTCCCAGCTAGCCCCCAGTGCCTCTCACACCCTCCCTTCCATCACCTGCCCCTCCAGATGATGGCACCCGGATGGCCCGCACTACCACCGTGGAGTCAAGTTTTGTGAGGCGCTCGGAGAGTAAGGCCCCCTGGCGTCGCCCTGTGCCAGCCTGCCCGCCGCCTCGGGCTCTCTCTGAGCCCTCGTCTACCTGTCTGTCTACAGCCGTCGTCATCTCTTCTCCACTTGTCTGCCTGTCTCTCTCTTCAGCCATCATCTTCTCTTCTCCGCCTGTGCTAGCACCCCCCCAACCCCCCACAGTCTCCCAATCCATTTCCTGATGCCAAGCCTGGGCCCTCACCCTGTTCCCCTGCCCCCTCTCTACAGATGGCAGCGGCAGCACCATGACACAAACCAAGACCTTCTCCTCTTCCTCGTCCAAGAAGATGGGCAGGTGAGCACAGGCATCTCCTCCCCCTGACCACAGAGGACTTGGTGGTGCACGCGTTCCGCAGAGGGTGGAGGTGCTGGGGGGTGGCAGGCACCCAGCCACGGAGGGACAGGGTCCGAGTCAGACCACTCCCGCTTGCTCTGTGATTTTGCCCATCCCATAGGGGAAGGGGGAGCTCTGGTGGCATAGTGCCTAAGGCATTTGACTGCTAACTAGAAGGTTGGTGGTTCAAACCCACCAGCCACTCCTCAGAAGGAAGGTGGTTGTTGTTACATGATGTCGAGTCAGATCCGACTCATTGCGACCCCTCCTTGAGTTTCTGAGGTGGTATCACTATGGAATTAGATTCCCCAACCTTCCTTCTGAGGAGAGGCTGGTAGGTTTGAACCACCAACCTTATGGTTAGCAGTCAAGTGCCAATTTATTTCCATAGTGATACTGCCTCAGAAACCCAAGGAGGGGTCGCTATGGGTCAGACCCATCTCCACGGCAGTGAGTTTGGTTTGGGTTTTATAGGGAAGGGGAGGCTCAGAGAGGCCAGAGACTTGCTCAGGATCTCACAGCTCTGAGTGGAAGCAATAGCACTAAATCTTTACAGAGGTCCAAGTACCACACTGGGCTGCCTGGTGGCGTAGACCTCCTGATGTCTACAAGCCACGTCCAAGGTCACAGACACGTTTACACCTTAGCCCCATGAGGGAGGGGTACACCCCATGTTATAGGGGATATCAGGGCTAGGAGAAAGCAGGGAAAGATCCGAATCCAGGCTGGCAACCAGACGGATCCAGGGACTCTGAGTTAGAGAGACTTGAGTTCAAGTCCCAGCTTTGCACCTCATGCCCTCTGAAATCTTAGGCAAGTTACTGCCAAAGGCCTCAGTTTCTTCATGGAAATGGTGTAAGTCCCTCCCTCCTCTTGGGAAGTTTAAAATGACACCCAGACGTGAACTATTATAACCCTGGTAATACAACGGTTAAGTGCCTACCTGGTAGCCAAAAGGTTGGCAGTTTAAACCACAGGAAAAAGACGTGGCAATCTGCTCCCACAAAAACTGCTCCCACAAAGTTTATGGCCTTTACAGCCTAGAAAACGCTTTGGAGCAGTTCTGTGGATCGGAATAGACTCCAGGGCAGGTAAGAACAACAATACTGTGCTGGTCATTGTTAATAGTAGTTGATAGGGCTCAGAATCTGAACTCACCTGGAACTTGACCATAGTCAACCTTATCAGAGACCTTCTCGGGATCCTGTTTTTGTCAGCTCCCTTACAGAGCTAAAAGGAGCTGGTGGCACAGTGCCTGTGGCATTTGACTGCTAACCAGAAGGATGGCGGTTTAAACCCGCCAGCTACTCTACTGAAGGAAGACCAGCAATCTACTTCCGTAAACATTTACCACCTCAGAAACCCAGTGGAGGGTGGCTGTGAGTCAATCCACTCGGTGGCAGTGGGTTTGGTTTGGTTTTGGTTTCACAGAGTGAAAGGTGCCCTGTGACCTGGGATGTGGTCTGAAAACATTGGGAAGTAGCAGTGTCACCGGGCACCTTGGGCTTGATATAAAGTCTTGGCTTCCATTTTCCTGTGTCTGAGCCTCACTATATTTCTATAAAATGGGTGTGATGAGGCCACCACCCTCACTGGCCAGTCTTGCTGGTCTTGCAGGTGTCGCAGGTTTAGGGGGCCTGTCGTGCCCCCTAAATGAGAGCTGAGGCTTTGGAGCAGGCCTCCTTCACCCACCTAATCATAGCCCCTATCCCCCAGCATCTTCGACCGCGAGGACCAAGCCAGCCCACGGCCCGGCAGCCTGGCAGCTCTGGAAAAACGGCAGGCGGAGAAGAAAAAGGAACTGATGAAAGCACAGAGTCTGCCCAAAACGTCAGCCTCCCAGGCGCGCAAGGCCATGATTGAGAAGCTGGAGAAGGAGGGTGCCACAGGGTGAGCATGACCGCCCCGCCCCCGCAGCAGGGCAGTAGTGGGCGGAGCAGCAATGGGCGGGGCTAAGAACCCAGGGGCTGGAGCTGTGGTGGGTGGGGCCTGGGGTCTTGGAAGGCGGGGCCTGGAGATCCGTGGGATGGGCCCACTGAGGCGGTGCCCCCAGGACGCCAGTGACCCGGCTACCCGAACCGCCCCAGCAGCAGCCCTGGCGGTCCCCGCACAGCGGTGCAGCGCTCCACGAGCTTCGGTGTCCCCAACGCCAGCAGCATCAAGCAGATGTTGCTGGACTGGTGCCGAGCCAAGACGCGCGGTTACGAGGTGAGCCCAGGAGGCCAGGTCACCCAGCAGACCTCCAGCCCCTAGCTGGCACCTCCCTGCTACCAAAGCATCTTCTCACTTCTCTGTGCACCCTCACAGCCACCATGTGGCAGAGAAGTCTTCTTCAGGGATGAGAAAATTGAGGCTTAGGTAGGATACATGGTGGCTCAGGGTCAGACACCACCCTTTGCCCCCTGCTCATTGCTCTGTGGGAGGGCTGGGTAAATTCCTTTGAGTGAGGGAAAGAGTGGTAGAGGGCATGACTGTGGCCTTAGCTGGGTGGTGCCAGGCTTCTCCATCACTCTGTCCTCAAATAACAGACAGACTCAGGAGTTGACAGACCAAGTTGGGCTAGCTAGCCACAGGCCCCTCTGAGCCCAGTTGCCCTAAGTCTAGAATGTCAAATGCCAGGGGAAACGGGGCAGTTGGCTTCAGGGCCCTGACCAGCCCTCCTGCACCCCTAGCATGTAGACATCCAAAACTTCTCCTCAAGCTGGAGCGACGGGATGGCCTTCTGTGCCCTGGTGCACAACTTCTTCCCTGAGGCCTTTGACTACGGGCAGCTCAGCCCACAGAATCGGCGCCAGAACTTTGAGGTTGCCTTCTCATCTGCTGAGTAAGTGTGGGCCCCAGCCTGCTGCTGTCAGCCAGGCATCTAGGACTGGGCATCTGGGGCTGGACATCTGAGCTGGGCCCAGCCACCCTGAAGCCTCTGGAGCCGGCCAGCCACACTGTCAGACAGCAACTGAGAACCCCCCCCCTTCCCCAGTGAGCCCCCATCCTCCTCCGCCCTGCTCGCCCGCTGCTGAGGGTACCAGATGCCCACCGGAAACGAAGGAGTCACAGGCCCACCCACCAGCCCGGGCCAAGGCCTACCAGGTGGCCCTGTCCAATCCCTCCTTCCTTCCTCTGCCCCCTCTCCCTTTCTCTGTCCTGGTCTCCTCCTCTTGTCACCAGAGCTTCCTGCTCCCACGGGATCCCGGCTGGAGATTCCAAAAGGAGGCTCCTGGCCCGGGCACCGTGCCCGCACAGCCTATATAGGTGCTGTCAGAGGCTTATATAGGACATCCATAAGCCCTCCACTTTGGAATCGGTGCCCCTTCTGCTCACCTCACCCTTAGCACCCTCCTCTGTCTTTCCTTCTCCCCCCTTCTCTTTCTGGTTTCCCCCAGACTCCTCCCTCTTTCTCCTCCCCCCACCTCCTGTCACGCCTCCCTCACCTCCCTCCCAGGGGCACAGCCCTCCTCTCCAACCTTGGTGCCAGTGCCATCGCCCCTCCCCCACCCCGTGTTCCTGCTTGCCCCGAGAGTTCTCTGCACCTGTGACTGGTCTGGCCCCCCCACCCTTGTCTGCATCGCACACCATTAGTGATGGGTAGTGAGCGGCACGCCCACCATGGGGAGGGGGCATGCAGGGGACTGGCTGACCGCAGCACCGAGTATGTAACTGAATCTCATGTCTCTGTGTATGTGTATGTGTGTGTCTCTGTTTCTCGTCCCCTTCCTCTTCTCGGCTTCTTCCCCCTCCTCCCACCTGGGTCCCGCCCCTGCCCCTGCCCGGCCCCCTCCCCTCCCCAGGACCCATGCAGACTGCCCGCAGCTCCTGGACACAGAGGACATGGTGCGGCTTCGAGAGCCTGACTGGAAGTGCGTGTACACGTACATCCAGGAGTTCTACCGCTGTCTGGTCCAGAAGGGGCTGGTAAAAACCAAAAAGTCCTAACCCCTGTTCGGGGCTCCACGGTGAGAAACGCTGCCTTGCCCCCCCCACACACATACACACCCAGTTACACCAGAATCTGCTCGAGGGGGGGGCACAGAGAGGGACCCCAGAGATGGGGAGGGAAGCAGGGGCCCCTGTCTTCAGTAGCTCGGGGCCTGGCAGGTGAGACCATTCTCCTAACAGGAGTCAGTGATGAGCCAGGTGAGCAGGACTGTGATGGGGAATCCCGGGAGGCTGTGGGAGCCCAGGGGAGACACCTGTCTCAGCCTACAGGTGGGCACGGCTGTCTGAAAAATGTAGGCCCTAAGCGGGGATCTAGGAGCTCTGGTAGCATAGTGGCTAAAGCACTTGACTGCTCACCAGAAGGCTGGCGGTTCAAACCCACCAGCCACTCCTCGGAAGGAAGGTTGGGCAATCCTACTTCCGTAGCGATACTGCCTCGGAAACCCAAGGAGGGGTCGCTATGAGTCGGGGCCAACTCGACGGCACATAACAACAACAACAACAAGCTGGGATCTAAGGAGCTCTGGTGGTGCAGTGCCTAAGGCAACTGACTGCTAACCAGAAGGTTGGTGGGTCGAACCCACCAGCCACTCTGCAGAAGGGAGACAGGGCAATCTATTTCCATAAAGATTTACCGCCTTGGAAACCCAACGGGGGTCGCTATGAGTCAGAATCAACTCAATGGCAGTGGGTTTGGCTTTTTGGGTTTAAGCTGGGATCTGAGCTACAAGTTCAGGCTAACGGAGGGAGAGGGGGTTTCTGGCAGAGGGCTGGGGGGTGGGAGAAAACGTGGCAGCATGGAACACCTAGGAAGGAAAGGAAGGGGGTGAGGAGAGGAGAAGGGGCTACTGTCAGCAGTTTGGACTGCTCCTGAGAATAACAGGGACCATAAAAGGTTTCCAAACAGAGAAGGGCTGATCTCAGGTTGGCATTCTCAAACAATCTCCTGATGAGACCTGGATAAGGGGGCACAGAAGGCAGACAATGACTGGAGCAGCTTAAGGGACAGGGTTAGGAGAAGGAGAGACAGTCAATGAAGCCTCTTAGGCTTCCAGCTTGGGCACTGGGGACTTTGCAGTGTCACGCTCCTGGGGGAGCTCAGAAGCAGGGCTGGTTCAGCAAAAAGGCATTTTCTCTCTGGTCCCCTTCACCTTGGGGCCACAATAGAGAGAGAATTAGATCCTGGACTAACTTGTCTGTTACAGACAAGGTGCTAGAGGGGTCGGGTTGAGGGGCACAGAGTATATCACAGATTTTAGGGCAGAACTGGGGCCAGACACTGGGGCTCCAGACTCCACACTCAGTGGTTCTTTTCTTTGTCCCATCATTGCATTTCCACCCAACTTGTAGAGAAAAGAAAAAAACAAAAGGCCTAAGGGTGCACGGGGATTGCTTGAGGCAGTATGAGTCAGAGAGAGCTAAGGATGCACTCAGATGCCCCTTGGGGCCCAGAGCCATTGTAGGGGGGCAGCCCCCAAGTGCACAGATATACTCAGAAGAGCGATGCAGGTGAAAGGAGGATGGGTTTGGTGCCGTCTCCGGGTCATATATGGACTTTGGAGCTGCCGCCCAGCAGGACGGTCTGGAGGGAGAGGGGCCCGGCCAGACCCTGATCCAGTTGGAAAGTGTGACTCAGCTGTGCTATTACCCGAGTTGCCTAGTGTTTGGCCTGTCGCTGGGGCAGCCTGAGTCCTGAGCTGTGAGCCCCAGTATAAACAATGGCTTTATAAGGTCCCCCGGGAAGGCATCGGGGTGGGAAGGAGTTCCAGGTTGGGGGAGGGGAGCCAGGCTCCTGGGGACATAGTCACAGCTGGAGAGAGCTGCGGGGAGAGGCCGGCTGTCAACCACGGACAGCTGGAAAGGGGGCCTAGCCTGGGTCAGTGACAACCCCAAGAGTACCCAGCATATCAGCAGCAGAGCTGCCCAAGGGAGGCAGGAAACGATTAGTGTTGTAAAGATGGAGAAACTGAGTCACAGAACAGGGCCTTACCTAGCAGTCACAGCTGGGCAGAGGGAGAACCTCGACTGGAACTGAGATCTTCTGCCTCCCAGACTTACTCCTTGGAGGAGTCCAGCTGAGCCTGGAGGAGGCTCTAGGCCTACCACACTGTTGTGTGCCGTCGAGTCGGCCCCAACGCATAGCGACCCTCCTTGGGTTTCCGAGGCAGTATCACTATGGAAGTAGTTTGCCCAACCTTCCGAGGAGTGGCTGGTGAGTTTGAACCGCCAGCCTTCTGGTTAGCAGTCAGGTGCCTTAGGCACTGTGCTACCAGAGCTCCACCACCAGGCTCAATCAGGAAGGCACACGATGATGGGAGGTGCCCTGGGCCCAGGGCTGCCTTGGGAGCAACTCCTGCACTTAAGCCTAGAGCTGCAAGAAACTCATTTAACACCACTGACTGACTGGTTACTATGGGCTAGCCACAGCAGATGCAGCAGGGAGATAGGCAGAGGGCAGACCAGGTCTTGCTCTCAAAGAGGAGAGGAAACTGGAACCAGGGAGCAAACTCCGGCTTCAGAGCTCTGGGGCTGTCGGTTGCTAGGCAGCCGCAACCGCTGACTTGGGGAGAGGGCTCCTGGAGTAGGAAGAAGGGGATTCAGGATGCAAAAGACACCCCGGCTCTGTAACTCGGTTTCCCACTATCGGCAAAATTCAGCTGTCACTCTGGAGAGTAGACAGGAGGGTGGGTGGCCCACATCTGAGCTTGGTGTCAATGGTCTGGATTGGTTAGGACCCTCCTCTGCCTCCCCTGGTCTACTCCAGGGTGGTGATAAGGACTGAGGACCTACCACCACCACCCACACACTCTTTGGCCCTGGGCCTCCACGTCAGGCAACACGAAAAGTCCCAGGGCCAGGGACAGGGGTTCCTAGGGCTCTTTAAAGGCGCCACCAGGCCAGATAGCCTGCTGATACTCTTCAGGGGTCCAGAGAGTCAGTGAGACTGTCCTGGCACCGGAGAAAGATTTGCCCGTGGTGTGGCTCCTACTGGATGCAGTGACTTCGATGAGAGGCCTGTATAGGCTGGAGTGTGCCAGGGAGGGAGAAGCTGGAAAAGAGAGGGGAGGTGGGGTTTAGAACCTGGACCTCCCCCAGGGCTGGGGAAACTTTAGACCAGACCCAGCCCTGCCTGAGAGGGGCATCTCTCCCTGGCCTCCAACTCTGCCGCCACTGGCCTGGTCTCTCCCAGCAGTGGGGTGCCTCCAGGTTTGGGTTGGTGGCGTCTGGGGCTTCCTGCCTTTTGGGCAGGCTTTACCCCCATTCCATTAATGGAGTATGGAGTTTATGGAAGACCAGCAGGCAACGGCAATGAAAGAACCTCAGGGTAGAGGACCAAAGCCAGTGACGGGGCCAGCACTGACCGCCCTCGCGGCCCCTCCCCGCAGGATGCTGGTGGACTGCGTGCCCCTGGTGGAGGTAGAGGACATGATGATCATGGGCAAGAAGCCCGACCCTAAGTGCGTCTTCACCTACGTGCAGTCGCTCTACAACCACCTGCGACGCCACGAGTTGCGCCTGCGCGGCAAGAATGTCTAGGCCTCCTGCTCCTGCGTGGCCCGCCACCGCCCCCACTCAACGGCACAGCCCCTGCCCTACGCGCCTGCCCACCGCTGCTCTGTCGCGACACCTACACCCTCACCCCCAACACACGCAGCGTTTTGATAAATTATTGATTTACAAAGACCCTGAATCCTCTCTTTTCTCTTGAGCGGGTTGATAGAGGGTGGGTCGGTAAGACATGCCCATGTACCCATTCCAGTGGTCCGAGCCCTAACGGGGTGCAGGATATCCCGGGAGTTACTGGGGGGGGGGGGGGGGCCTTCTAGGGGAGCTTCCTGTCCCACCTGCCCGCAGCAAGGAAGGAATCGAGCCATAGTTTAGGCTGAAAAGAATTTAGTGGAGTTGAGGTGGGAAGAGCCTCCCATTCCCAACCCCCGCCGGCCCGGGGACGGGGCGTCGGCCCTCAGCGAGGAAGATGCTCCCGGGACGCTGAGCGCTTCATTCTGTCCCCGGGGATCGGGCAGGCTGGCCCCAGCTCCGCCGCGCCTCGGGCCCTACAGGTCGGCGCGGTCCGCGTCGCTCTCGGCTGGTCTCGCGGGCGCCTGCAGGTACTCCGGGGGCACGGGCGCGTCGGGCGCCGCCTTGCGATAGAAACCGAGGTCCTGCACAAGCGCGTTGATCTCCTCGCGGGTCATGTCGCTAAGAGGGATGCGCTGAAAGGGAGGGGGCGGGGGCGATGCTCTAGGTCCCGCCTCTCGCCACGCCCCCCGCCCCCCCCCCTCTAGCTGCGCCGCCCGCCGCCCAGAGCCACACCTCCAGTTCCTGGTAGCGTTGGTCTAGCAACACAAGTTCCGGATCGGCTCCTGGGAGGTGTTTCATCACCAGGTTGTGGCTGGAGGAGGTGTTAAGGAGGATAGTGGTGGGCAGAGACAGATGGCAGCTCCTGGGGTTTTGTCAGTATAAACACCACGGCCACTTTGCTGAGCGCTTAATCTCTGTGCCCAGATAGGGCAGAGATCCCCATTTACACGTGAGGAAATTAGAGTTCAAAGAAGTAAAGGGCCCTCCTGTCCATTCCAGTGTCTATGGCAGACATCACTAATCGGTCTTTCTTGCCTACCCAACTCAGATTCATCTGGGTAGTCACTACCAATCAATTGCACTTGTCAGATGAAAACCATCTGCCATCCATTCCTCTGAAATTAAACTGGGAGGAGATTGTCCCAGTCCCCCTCTCCATTCACCTTGCCCCAGGACAAGGGAGGAAGGATACTAGAGTGGGATATCCTGGGTGACGAAGGCCTTCACCTGGGGAGAAAGCAGCGCGTCAGAGAGCATGACCCCAACTCCCTCCAGATACAGATGGGAAACTGAAGCCCAATGAGGCCACACAGCAAGCTCCTGACTCCAAAACCGAAGGTCCTCCCGCTCCCAATCATTGGGACTTGGTTGTCCAACCCCAGGAGAGGTTCATGCAGCCCAGGGCCAGGAAACTCCTTCAGACCCACCTCCTTCAGGCGATTCAGTTGTCATCCCCCACAGGTCTGGAAGGGGACAAAATGGAAGAGGTCAGGAGCTGCCACATCTGCTCCTGCCACACCCCCAGACTACTTCACCCTCATCCCCAAGTTGGCCAGGCCATGGGTTAACCCTGAAGCAACCATTCCAAGAATGTCTGAAGGGGATGGAGGCCGTTTGTGGTGTATATGGGGCACTGTGCTGCAGGTGGGGAAACGAGGCCTAGGGGCCTTCAGGGAAAAGGAGGACCAAGGCTAGAGACCCCAAGGGGCCTTGCAGCCATTAGCTCTTGCCTGCACTTCCTACTGACTGTTGACTCCCTGAAGTCTCAATCTCAAATTCACTGTCATCAAGTCGGATCTGACTCATAGTGACCCCTCCTTGGGTTTCCGAGGCAGCATCACTACGGAAGTAGATTGCCCAACCTTCCTTCCAAGGAGTGGCTGGCTGGTGGGTTTGAACCACCAGCCTTCTGGTTAGCAGTCAAATGCCTAGGGCACTACACCACCAGAGCTCCGAAGTCTCAAGACCCAGGAGAAATATCACTCTGCCCCTCTCAGGCAGTAGACACCTAGGTCTGGCCTTTGGCTCAGGGTGAAAGCAGGCCAGAAGGAGACAGCTCAGAATTGCCCTGGGGACCTCCAGCAGTGACGTGTGCCATCTGGTCCCCACCCTACCCCACACAGAGCTGGCCCTCCCTGTCACCTGCAGCCAGCCCTACGGACCATCTGGTTCCTTCCCAACATGGGGAGGGCTCCTTCCTGCACTCTCTGCAGTGGCCCATTCATTCCAATTCCCCTATGTCTTCCCCACTTTTGTCAGACAGAAAAATAAGGCCCAGAGAAGGGCTGAGATGGTTCCAGTCACACAGAAAGACAAGGACTCAGGCGGGGGATTTCCCAGGGCGCAAGGGAGGGAGCTGCTGTTGGCTACCAGGTTCCTGCCCCTTTCTGGCTCCTGCATGGAGGAGGAGGCCCAGAGTCTTCCCTCCCCGGAACCAGGAAAGAGACACCCTCCAGAGCCCCAAGTCGTGGAACTGGAGTGGGGGAGGAATTCCAGGAAAAAGTGGAGTGATGCGGTGGGAATGGGGCTCCAGAGGGCAGATTTGGGAGACTCACAGGCCGGGAGAAGAAGAGAGTCAATGTATCTTCAAGCTAGCTGGCTGTCAGGCTGGAGGGGCTAGAGAGGGGTTCGGAGATCCAGGCCGCAAAGTCGAGTATATTGGGCTTCCAAGGTGAGTACTGGGGCTCCCTCGGGCTAGGGAGAGGGAGGGATGGTCCAGGCGGCGGGGACACTCGGGGATCAGGGTGATCGTGGGGCCAGGGTGGCCAGTGGTCCCCGGACTAAGGGGCCGCAGAATTGGGAGCTGTGGTCCCGGGGCTGAGGGTCGGTGCGCTCACCTCTACCCGGGCCCGGGCCAGGCCGCGCAGACGGTTCCAGTCCGGCTGGAAGGTGGTGGTGGCGTGGGCCTCAAGCGCCGCGAGAAGCAGCAGCAGCGGCGGAGGCAGCGGGAGGCGCATCGGGACAGGGTCCGGATCCGGATCCAGATCCGGGTTGGAGACGATCCGCAGGATGGAGGCGAACCTCACAGCTGCAGCGCCACGTCTGGTTTCGAGGGCTGGCTCAGCCCGGGTTGAGGCCCCGCCCCCAGGCGCCACGCCCCCAAGTCTCCGCCTCTATCCCGGAGCTTCCCAGGGCCCTTGTAGGGTCCTCCTACAAGCTTCTGGCAGGGTCGGCTTCCTTTTGGCCCCTACAACCCTTACTCTCCTGTCCTGAGGTTGTTCACGCTCCCTCTGCTGGTGGGAAGTGTGGACACTCCCCCAGGCTACGACCGGACAGCGCCACAACACGCCTGCAGGGGGCGCGGGCGGGACGCGGATGGACGCAGAAGTTTATAGGGCAAATCCTCGACTTGCAGAGGGGGGAGACTGAGGCCAGGGGCAATCCTTGTTTGTGCGTTCTATTTCTCTGGAAGAAATTCCGATTAGGGTTTTGATTCCCAGGAGCACACATCGCGGTGACAGGAATATTAGCAAGGAGCTCTAGTGGCGTAGTGGTGAGGCATTTGCCTGCTAACCAAAAGATGTTGGTTTGAACCCACCAGCACTCAGCGGAAGAAAGGGCGGTCTGAATCAGAATGGACTCATGGCAGTGAGTTTGAGTTTTGTGGGGTTTTTGTTGTTGTTGTTATGGTTTTTTTTTGGGGGGGGGTGAATATTATCTTACCCGGTGGGATTTGAGAGGATAAAAGGGATTAATACACATAACGTTCTTTCAAACTGCCTGAAAGTCTTAGTTCACTATCATTTCCTTCCTTAGCTAACACAGACAACATGAGCTGCATTCTGCATGTTACAAAACAGGCTCAGAAATAAGAAATTATTCAATTGGTGGGCCTGGGATTCACAAAAGTCGCTCTCACCAGACCAAAGATGAAAATCAGTGCCACTTTCCCTGTTCACACCTAAGGCAAACATAGCAAATTGATCACAGTGGTCTTTCTCCCTGAACTTAGACTCAGATTTAGAATCCTTCTTAACGGAGAGCCAAGTCTGCATTATGAGGTTTGTGGGACCTACGTATTTTTGTCTTTCCCCATTTAAAGGATAAAACAAATTTTAATTAGATTTTACAACTAACTCTCTCTTTTTTTTTTTTTTACAAAAGTTTATTTTTAAATGTACGACAGCTTCCAAGACAACACTTCATTCTAACTGCAGGTGGCAACAGATGTTACAGCAGGGAATCCAGATGTTTAAACGGAATGGATTTGAGGGTCACCATAGCCTCAGTCACAAAGAACGGCTTATTTTTTGCCAGATTTCTTTATTCCACCTGTGCCCAGGGGCCTTCCCCACAGCTTTGGCTTTTAGCTCCTTGACTATTTTTTGTTCTTCTTTTTGTTTCTGCTTGAAAGCTTTATCTTCCTCGTCCATTTCCTCGCTCTGCTTCTTGGGTTGTTTCAGCAGCTTCTTCTTGCCACCTTTGTGGCGCGTCATCGTGCCTGCTGCCTCTTCCCCAAACCTGCCGCCGAAAGCCCTAACTCTGTCTTTAAGTCGAATTTGTATGTAAGTTGAAAGAACTAGGTATGGTTTGTATCTAACGTCAAATATTTGTCTTAGTGTGTAGTATATAGTGTACTTTTCTATTCATAAAAAAACGTTCAAGAAATACTTCTAGATAACACTAAAACAGGCAAGAATGGCCAGCTTCGTCTCGCCTACTTTGGCCTTGTCGTGTTGTCACAAGGGACCATTCCCTGGAGAAGGCTATCATGCTTGGTAAAGTGGAGGGTGGGCGGCAAAGGGGAAGGCTCCCAACAAGACAGATTGACACAGTGGCTGCAACAGTGGGCTCCGGTGTCCCAAGGCCGCTGAGGATGAGACAGGACCGGGCAGTGTTTCGTTCTGTTGTACATAGTCGTTACGTCAGAGGTGACCCGACAGCACCTAACCAACGACAGCCCTGAAACATCATCGACAGAATGTTGTTGTGTTGTTAGTTGCCATCCAGTCACGTACGACTCATTTGTTGTTGTCATGAGCTGTTGAGTCAGAGACCCAACTCACAGTGACCCCTCCTTGGGTTTCCGAGGCGGTATCACTACGGAAGTAGATTGCCCAACCTTCCTTCCGAGGAGTGGCTGGTGGGTTTGAACCACCAGCCTTCTGGTTAGCAGTCAAGTGCCCTAGGCACTATGCCACCAGAGCTCCTTTACGATTCATAGCGACCCCACGTAGAACAGAATGAAACACTGCCTGGTGCCGCTCCATCTTCACAATCATCACGATGCTTGAGCCCATGGTTGGAGCCGCTGTGTCAATCCATCTCATTGAGGGTCTTCGCCTTTTGTGAGGATCCTCCACTCAATGTAGTAGTTATTATGTTAATACCATTATTAACACAGTATATAGACACAGAGTAGAGCTCAAATTTTTAAAATACACAAGCAGCCTCCAGATTACCAACATCTGACCTACGTGCAACCAGGAGTTAAGAACCAACCCCTGTAAAGCATCCAGTAGCAATTCCTGGATCATTAAATGAACTAGTACTAGAATTCTACTAAGAACAAGGTAGATATCTAAATCTGTCTGTTAATTTCCACTACCCAGGTCTAATGCACTTCCCTCAGGCTACAATCCCTTGAGAAAATGGTAAGACAGGAGAAAGGAAAGAAGGGAAGTGGCATTTACTGCCTGCCAGACGTTGTAAACATAGCAAGAACAAAGACAAGAACTCAGGGGAGGCAGCCAGACAGGCAGTAGCGGAAGGAAATTTGAACCCAGCCTGAGTTCTCTCCCCATTAGCTGGCTAGTCACAGCTGCTCCACAGTATCTGAAGTCCAGGCTGTGTCCCGCCACCCCCCATCTGTAGAAAGTCTGCATGGGGCTGTACTTGGACAGCATGACCATACAGCACAGGTCAGCCTCAGTGCAAGCCTCCTCGAAGTCACCACAGCACAGCAGCAGGTCCGCTGGCGCCATCAGCATTGGCCTCTCAGAGATCCTGTTCAGCTCACCGCGACAGCAGCTGGCCACAGCCAGCCACGTCCTGTCGGCCAGAGGTCCCTAGGCACTCTTAACTAAGATGCGCCTAACCCAAACCATGGTGTTTTCATGGCTTTTCTCATAAGCATGGGAGAGCTGGACAATGAGTAAGGCAAACCAAAGAAGAGTTGATGCTTTTGAGTTTTGGTATTGGTGAAGAATACTGAAAGTACCGTGGACTGCCGGAAGAACAGATCTGTCCTCGAAGAAGTGCAGCTGGCAAGCTCCTTGGAAGCGAGAATGGCCAGACTTTGTCTCACCTACTTTGGTCATCTCAGAAGGGTCCATTCCCTGGAGAAAGATATCGTGCTTGGTGAAGTGGAGAGTCAGCGAAAAAGGGGAAGGCCCTCAACGAGATGGATTGACACAGTGGGTACAATAATGGGCTCAGGTACAGCGAGGACTGTGAGGCTGGTGTGGACCACGCACTGTTGTGTTGTGTTGTACATAGTGTGCCTCTGACTTGGAGCCAACTCGACAGCACCTAAGAACAACAACGGCAATAACAAATGGGTGCTACTTTGCAACGTGCACCAAAACGTTGTTGTTCTTGTTGCTGACTCATAGCAACCCTGTGCACAGCAGAACGAAACACTTCCCAGTCCTGTGCCAGCCTCATGATCCTTACTGTACCCGAGCTCATCGTTGTAGCCATTGTGTCTGTCCACCTCCTTGAGGGCTTTCGCCTTCTTTGTTGACCCTCCACCCTACCAAGCATGACATCCTTCTCCAGGGAATGGTTCCTTCTGACAATATAACCAAAGTAGGTGAGACAAAGTCTGGCCATTCTACCTTCCAAGGAGCATTCTGGCTGCACTTCGTCTAGGACAGATTTGTTAGTCCTTTTAGCAGTCCATGGTACTCTTAGCATTCTTCTCCAACACCACAATTCAAAAGCGTCAAGTCTTCTTCAGTCTTCCTTATTCATTCATTGTCCAGCTCTCACATGCATAAGAGGCAATTGAAACGACCATGGCTTGGGTTAGATACACCTCAGTCTTCAAAGAAGCACTTTGTTCTTCATCACTTGAAAGAGATCCTTTCCAGCAGATTTACCCAATGCAATATGTCGTCTGATGTCTTGGCTGCTGTTTCCATTGGTGTTGATTGTAGGGCCAAGTGATATGAAATCCTTGGCAACTTCAATCTTTTCTCCATCCACCATGAAGCTGTTTATTGGAGCAGTTATGAGGATTTTTGTTTTCTTTATATTGAGATGTAATCCATACTGCAGACTGTAGTCTTTAATCTTCATCAGTAAGTGCTTTGAATCATCCTCACTTGCAGTAAGCAAAGTTGTGTCATCTGCATGTTGTTGTTGTTGTTATTTTGCCGTCGGGTTTCTGAGGCAGTATCACTATGGAAGTAGATTGCCCCATCTTCCTTCCTAGGAGTGGCTGGTGGGTTTGAACTGCCAGACTTCTGGTTAGCAGTCAAGTGCCTTAGGCACTATGCTACTAGACCTCCCGTGTCATCTGCATACTGGAGGTTATTAATGAGTCTTCTTCCAAGCCTGATGACATGTTCTTCTTCATAGAATCCACCTTCTCAGATTATTTGCTCAGCATACAAGTTGAATAAGTATGATAAAGGAAACAACCTTGACACACTCCCTTCTTGATTTTGAACCATGCAATATCCCCTTGTTCTGTTCAAATGACAGCCTTCTGATCTATGTACAGGTTCCTCATGAATACAATCAACTGTTCTGGAATTCTCATTCTTCTCAATTTATCCATAATTCATTGTGATCCACACAATTGAATGTTTTTGCATAGTCCATGAAACATAAGTAAACATCTTTTTGGTATTCATTGCTTTCAGCTAAGATCCATCTGATCAGCAGTGATATATCTACCTCATACCACGTCCTCTTCTGAATCCAGCTTGCATTTCTGGAAGCTCTCTGTCAATATACTGCTGCAAACATTTTGTTAATTATCTTCAGTAAGATTTTACTTGCTTGTGAT